CTTTCCCTAGATCAGTTGAGCCTAATGGGGAAATACAAGGTTTTGATTCTCAGCATATACATAAAAGCAAAAAATCCATATTTTAGTAATTTTTAAAAAAATTTCTTAGGCTTCCAGATTTGAAATTTTAAAAGCACTGAGCCACTGTCTGCCTCTGGCGCATGATGTCGATCTTCACCATTTGGCAGCAAAAACAGAGTATTTCACGGGAGCAGACCTAAAAGCTTTACTGTACAATGCCCAGTTAGAGGTAGTACATGCCAGTTTGGGCTCAGCCTTGCCCCAGGTGAGTATGTTGAAATGTATGGAGTTTCCTTATACACTGTTTTGCTTATCTCCTATTAACAGAGATATCGGTTTCTTCTCCTATACATGCTAATGTCATTCAGTTCTTGCATATTTTTGTAAACTCTTTTATTATGCTGTATGCTAATTTGCTGTTTTCCCAGGTTTTACCAGTTGCCTTAATCAATTTTAGCTATTGTTCAGTTATTTATGCATCTTGACTCTAATTAGCCATTCCTGGCAACACCCTCCCCACCCTCTACCTCTGTGTAACAGTTGGTGTGGAAACTGTGTAACAGTTGGTGTGGAAACAGTTGGTGTGGAAACAGAGTGCTTCTTTCCATGTCCCAAAGCAACACTAAATCACACTAAATCACAGAACTATATTAAGAAGGCTGTTCTCTTCAATACCTAGTCTCTACAGGTTAACAGCCCTTTGACTGACAAGGTCTGAAGTTTATTTATTCCAGGTGTCAAGTGAAAACCTTGTATCTGTCAAAGATCACTTACGTTTATCTTATGATTTTTTATTTAAAGTCACTCTAATCATTCTTGAAATGAGTAAACATGAAAGAATCGCAATACAAAAATACTTGCAAATTTAAATAGAATCAGAAACAGAAAGACATACGTATCATCCCTTTAATCTTTAATCTTAATCTTAAAATAAATTTCTGAGATTCTCACCAAAAGTGCTTTTAAAAATATTAGATAGTCTCATGCAGCCACATCTGAGAGATTCAGGGGTGTTTTGGGTATGGCTATCTTATGTAGGCCCAGTTATGTGAAACCCACATGACCATACCAAAACATTCCAGTTTATCACTTCTGATGGTATGAGGTAAGTGCTCCTCTGAGCTTAGAAGAAATTTGTTTATTTATTTATTGCATTTATATCCCGCTCTATCCTATGATGGGCTCAGGGCAGCTCACAACAAAGGTGTAAAACAGTAAATTTCCCATAGAAATATACATACCAAAACTATGAACTATTAGATCAACCTGTTCAGAGATTTTTCTGGGCGTCTGTCCATCCCCAGCAGTGAGAACATAGCTGAGAAAGTAAAACATGTACATTGTTCGCAGATTTGAAACCTAAAGCAAATTGTCAGACCTTTTAACAGACAGAGGTCTGTGATACCAGGAAGTCAAAAGGAACTGCTGCGTGGTAGGGGTGTGTGTGTGATGGGATAAGCCCTTTCTTTTGCTGACACATCACTGGATCCAAGCCATTATATATTTGATTTGAAGTTATTAGAAATGTACATGTAATAATAGTTACCGTTTGTAATTTTGTTATTTTCATCTAGGACATAGGTTCTAGTTCAGACAGTGATCTCAGTCTGTCTTCAATGGTTTTCTTAAACCACAGCAGCGGATCAGATGATTCTGCTGGAGATGGAGAAGGAGGGATGGAACAATCTCTGGTCTCCCTTGAAATGTCTGAGTTGCTTCCTGAAGATCCAAGGTCCAACATATATCGTCTTTATTTTGGAAGCTCTTATGAATCAGAGCTTGGCAATGGAACTCCATCAGAAATGGTAACCAGCTTCTTTCCCTTCACTGATATTGTATGGTCAGAAGAAAACTTTTATTTCTAGTTAAGTTTAAGCGCTTCAGTGTTAGTATCAATCGATAGATGTTAAAGTCTGGTTAAGGAAATTGTTTATGGGCTGTCTGTTTCATACTCTGGGTCACTCCTACCTATGTTCTTCCGTATGACTTCCCTTCTAGAAGAACAAAAAAAGAACAAATGTAGGTTTAACTGAAAAAATATCATTTGTCTCATTTTTGGAAACGTACACAAACAGGAGTTACGTACTTTAGAGGTACAAAGACTGTTATTGAAAGAGGCATCCATAACTTATGTACAGCTGAGCATGTGAAGTTGTTTTGTTATGAGTCAGACCACTGGTCCATCTAGCTCAGAATTGGCCATTTTGACTGACCACAGCTCTCTAGAGTTTCAGGCAGAGAAAGGTCTTTCCCAACAACTTGCACCTGACATCCTGTAACTGGAGAGGCCACAGAATGAGCTCCGGCACCATCTGATTGTAAAAGCCCATGCTCTGTCATTGATCCATAGCCCCTCCTCAGCTGCATCATTTCCCAACAAGAAAGTCATCAGTTCATCCTTCAGTCTTATCTGTCTTTACCCCTCATTGTGCTTACTTCCTGTTCCCCACCCTTCTCCCATCTCAGAACAGGTTAACGCAGAGTCCCCTTAAATACAGAATATTTTTTTTAATGAAACATTTTGTTCGTATTTAAACTTTTTCATTATACAAATAACTTGCCTAATTGATGAAGTGCTTCCTAATGATTGTCTCATTGATAATGTATCTGTTGGTTTGAGGATTCTTATTGAAATATTTGCTATAATTACAGTGTTGCTCCCTTGAATCATTATTACATCTTTTTTCCTTGCTTTGGTTGCTGTAGAGTTCTCAGTGTTTCTCTGGACCAAATTCCATAAATCAGGATTTGACCAGCCTGTCTTTGAAGGATTTAGTGTCATCTCAACCTCTAGTGTTAAGAACAGCCTTACAGGAAGGTTACCAAGAACTTAATCAAGAACAAATAGAACAACTCAGGGCTGAAATCAGTGCTATCAAGGCCAACTACAGGAACAGAAATGGAGTATGGACTAATTTAATTTCTTTTTTCATGTATACAATTGCTTTTCATAAATCTTTAGTGTGTGGTGACAGAGCTTCTTTGTTAGACTGTGCTTCTTTTGCAGTTACAATATGTGCAATGTTACAATATTTTAGATAACAAGTGCATAATCAGAAAATTCTTTTTATTTGTAACATGGCTTGTTTAAATATGCTTAAAATACTGTATTTAAATTCCTGTTTCTTAGTAATATCTACATGTTGTTTTTAGGAGGAGGTCACTTCAAGTCAATCTGTGTCAATCAAGAACACTCTAAATATTACTCAGTGTCACCTAATGATGGCACTTGGAAACACAAAGCCATCTATTAGTCAGGATGACTGGAATCATTTTGCTGAACTGTAAGTGTATCTTTATAAAGGAAATAATACCCACAATGTATTCTGAAAATTTGTCCTTGCATGTTTTGGAAAAGTAGCTATTTTAATGTGTTGTAGCAGAAACAAAAGAAGGCATTTATGTGTCAGAAAGATAAACAGCTACTCAGTGGCATGAGAAAGGTGAAGGTATGTACTCAAGAGTCAAAGCTTAAGAGAACATTTTTAAAAATAAATTCTCATGTGCAGTGATGAGGCAGTGTATCGTTAATGGATATTATTGCTGAACAGCGCTTTAGGGGATGAGATCCCCACATTATTACTGGTGGGCATTGTGCAGCAGATTTGGAAAAAGGGTGTGTTTGGATCAGCACAGTGCAGGTGCACAGCTACAGGCTAGCCAGCAGTACTCATACGAGCTGATAACATTATTGGGTTGTTCCCATGTGGGGAGCTGTTGTCCTTTTGCTAAACAACCTCTGTGTGTGTCCCCTTCCATTTCAGGAATCCCCTTCTATTTCAGTCACTGTTCACCAATGGCAGCCATTTATTACCACTTGACCAGCCATTGCTGTTTTCAAGGCATTCCTTATTCAGCCCAAGCTTGCCAGTTTTTACCACTTTGCAAAATGCTCCTTCCTTTCTGAAATTTCTTAGGAGTTCAGTGATTTATGGCTTTAGAAAAGGTTGTAGAGGGCTTTGATTTGGATTTTATTCTTAATGTTGTTTATATTCAACTTGTCTGTTTATGGTAATCAGCCCTGATTTTTATTGAATGGAGGAGGCATACAGTTGAAGGATATATTGTTGTTGTATGTGTATGCCCTAATAAGTTTAAGATGCCCACACTATTTCTGGTTTTCATAACAGTTTTGTTGCTGATTAATTAACTGTAAAGATACCTAGTATTAATATGCTACAATTAATTTTTTTTAGCTACGACCACTTTCAGAATCCAAAGAGGAAGGGGCCCACTGGAGCAATTTTCAATCCAGGACAAAAAGTGACACTTGCTTAATTGCTATTAATGTGATAATGATCACTAAGTAATTTTTGCAGTGACGTGTTTACATTATTAAATCACATTAAACTTGGCTATGTTAATTCTATAATAAAAATAATTTCATTGAAATTTTAATTATTGCAAAATGTTTTACATAATTTTAGTTTTCAGATTATGTCTTCCTACAAATCTACATTAAAATGTTTGAAATAATCTTGGCTACTTTGTGTTTAAATTGTGAAAAATGAGATATTAGTAATCCAAACATTGCATTCTCTTGCTATTCTAGTGCAAAAGCCATACCGTCTAAGAACTGCTGGTCATTAAATCAACTCTCCAGGCAATCCCTTTGTATCTGTGACCAAATCTGAGCACATAAATGTAGTTTTAGTTCATCATATTTCATTTCCTCTCTGAATTGGAGGGCACTACAGGTTTCAAAAATATTTACCACTTCTAAACAAAATAGTATTCTATCCTTTGCCTATAAACACACATTACCAGATGTTGCATGAAAAGCATTTAATCACTGACTACCTGATGTACTACTGAATATTTTTCACAAGTGCTTACAGTTTCTTAGTGGAGTTGGAGATTTTAGTAGTAGTAGTAGTAGTATTTTTTAAATTTATATTTGAAAGACCAAGTGCACTGAAATTATTTGGCTTCATTAATTTGATGAAATTTCAAGTATAAATTGTGCATATCCACAAGCATCTAAATTTTAGTGGGATGAGCAGTGCAGGTCTAACAGTAATTACTATTCGTACTATCTGGTAGTATCTGGATTCCTTTGGCCATTAAAAAGAAAAAAGCTTTGATCCTTACCGTGTTATGCTTGGTTTATTGTGTGCCTAGCCAAGGACTGATGGGAGATACAAATGATCCCTTACAGGAAGTGTGCCTAGCCAAGGACTGATGGGAGATGAAATACAAATGATCCTTTACAGGGAATCCTGCTTCCCTTAACTCTGCACCTGTATAGAGAGAAACATATAATACAGCATGGAAATAAAAATGTGAAGACCTGGAAAAAATGGGAAAATTTGGAGAATTTTTTATCCCTTGAGCACTTTTTTCTTCCATTTTTCTAATGGAAAAATTGGAAATTTGGAGAATACTGAAAATAACTCCTATGAAATATTTTTTCTTTGAGTGAAATGATTTTAAAGACAAGGTGGGCTCACAAGACTCCACAGCTTAGAGGGAGCATTGCACCCTGTGAGGTAGGTGGGCCTTAGAGAGCTCTGAGAGAACTGCTCGTGAGAGAACAACTCTGAGAGAACCGTGACTGACCCCAAGGTCACCCAGGCAGCTGCATGTGGAGGAGTGGGGAATCAAACTCAGTTCTCCCAGATTAGAGTCCACGCTCCTAACCACTACATCAAACTGACTCTCAATAGGACAGTAGTATTGCATACATTTCAATTTTCCCCAAAATTTCTGTTTTTTTACCAGAAAAAAACAGAAAAGATTCCCATTGCTTCACAAGTTCCAGAAATTTTACATCTCTACATTGAACATTCCCACCATTTGCTTTCTTGCCTTCCTTTTTTCAGTCAGTGCAGTTTTATTTCTTTAGAATGTAAAACATCTTAAAGTAAATTAGAAATAATGCCCGTTGCGGAAATAAATACAACGGGATCTAGAAAGAGGCTCTGGGAGAGTGCTCTGGCTTTGGGCAAACAGTGTCAGTTTCCTGTGGCGACCTCAGCAGGGTTTAATGACGGAGTCCACTGTTTTCTCCAGAGGGACTGATCTCTGCTACCTGAAGAGCATTTGTATGTTTGAGTTATCTGTAGCCCTCACCTGGAGAGTGGTAACCATTGTTACCCATTCTCCTCTCCCCTATGAGGTATGTTATGCAACTGAAAATCCCAACTGCCTTGCGGGGGGGGGGAGTTTGAGGTGTGGAATGGACTGAAGTCCAATCAGCTTCCATATGCAAAAGACCAGGTTGTCGCAGCAGTTGTGGTGTGGGCGGGACCCGGGCTTTGCCTTCTGATTGGTGGCGATATATGCTGAGGAGCAGTGCCATCAGCCATACACTAAGGGAGTGCATTTTAGAATTAGAACCTTGGCACCCACTATTCAATTATATATAAGGACAGATTCTCACCAGCTCCAGCTCCCAAGAAGGCCAGATCACGTGTTGGACATGCAAAGCTGCCTTATACTGACTCAGAGCACTGGTCTAGCAAGATCAGTATTGCCCACTCAGATTGGCAGCACTTCTCCAGGGTCCCAGGCAAAGGTCTTTCACATCACCTCCTACCTGATCCTTTCAACTGGAGATTCTGGGCACTGAACCAGAGAGCTTTGGCATGCCAAGCAGGTGATCGGTCAATGAACCATGCCCTCAACCCCTACGAATGTTTACAGATTTGCCATTGATTCAAAGTTAGTAGCCTTGATGCCTGGCTTGTTAATCCCAAAACTATTAAAATAGTGCTGGTGAGCAACTCTTGAAAATAGCTTGTTGCTACAGAAAAGCTTATTGCTTTACATAACATGCTTTATGCATGGGCTAGCCCCGCTGCCTGAAGCGTCGGAGGCGGGACGCTGCGTCGGAGGTGGGAGTCATGGGACACGGCCAATGGAAGGCGGGGAAGGTCGTGACAGACCGCTCAGCCGGCCAAACACTGTAGGGGCGCATTTTCTCTCCTGTGCGTGAGTCTGCGTCTTACAGCTTTATATATAAGGGAGAGATATATATAAATGGTCACATTCATGTGATGCAACAAACAAATATGCCTGTGACAGAGAGTAGCATAGATTGTTATTATTTGGAGTGCGATTTTTGGCTTTCTGGTTCAGGTTTTTGGAACTGGGATTAAATTTAGACTTAGAATCATAAACGGGTGTAGGGGACAAGCTCCAATTTGCCCAGCCACTTACAGTCAGGCATTATAACTAAGGCGATTGAGTTAAGGCTTCCCAAATCACGAATCCTTCAACCACCCTCCACACATGAAGGGAGGAGTGACGAGCACATACAACACAGCTAGAGCCAGTGTGGTGCACTGAATAGAATTTTGGACTAGTATTTGGAAAAACAGGTTTGAATCTTCACTCTGCCATAAGAGCTTGCTGTGTATCCTTGGGCTATTCACATACTCTGTCTAACTGATCTCACAGGCTTGTTGTAAGGATAAAATGGAGAAGAGAACAGAATTAGCCACTTTGGGCACCTGTCGGGGATAAAGATATGGTATAATTGAAGGAAATAAAACATTTAACAGGCTACATTTCTGCCATCATAGACAAATCTTTGCTTTGAGTGCATCCAGTGTCTTCTTACCAAGTGAAGTGTTAATACAAGATTTTATGTTATTTATGGTCCCACTTTCTCGCTGCCACTAAAGGCGTATTACCTCATCTAAATCAGGACAATCGTTACGATGAGGAGACATCTAATAAATAATGTAATAGGAGTAGGATTGCAGAAATCTGAAACGAGGCATAAGCATTAAATATAATGTATTAAAAATGCAAGAAAAGGTATTATGTAAGTACAAATATAATGCAGTGAGAGCAAGATGAAAAATACAGCAAAAGATAATACATAATAGTATTAGTGGTAGATAATAGTATAGTAGTATAGTCCACAGTTCTATCAAAACGAACATAACAAATTATTTCTGAAAGTATGCTGTAACTATTTAATAGTATGCTAATTCAGTAGAATAATTTCAAATATAAATTGTGCACATCCACAAGCATGTAAATCTTAGTGGGATTAGTGCTGCTAGGTTGTCAATCAAAACTAAAAATATTTTTTCTTCTGTTGCAAAATCCTTATTATCCTTAGGTACTCAGAATAAGGCTATAGGGATAGATGTGCTTTTTCAGAACTCAAGTATTGTATCATTAGAAGGTCTGAATTTCATGTTTGAAAACAAAGTAGGTAAACTAAGAAGTTTAAATTTACTCGGTGGATTAATATTTTAAAACAGCCAAGAGCTATTGGGGTTAAATGCTGACTGCTTTTAGACCAGGAAAAATTAAATATAAATTAAATATAAAACACCAAGGAATATCTTTCCTGTTTATGTTTATATGTTGTATTGCTAGTGTCAGGATTATGACTATCATAGAGAGAACTAACATATAGTCTGTGTATTCTTGAGTCTATGTCGAATGGGCTGCATATTACTACTTCTTCAACCATGTTTTTTTCTCCGTACATATGCAAGTGACATATTACAGACTAGGAAAAAGGCCCATTGTGGAAATAAATACAACGGCCTCTAGAAAGAGGCTCTGGGCAGGTGCCCCAGCCTTGGACACTAAGTGTCAATTTGCTGTGGCGACCTCAGCAGGGTATAATGACACTGAGTCCACCATTTTCTCCAGAGGAACTGATCTCTGCTACCTAAAGAACAGTTGTAATTTTTAGTGGTCTCCAGCCCTCACCTGGAGATTGGCAACTATGGTTCCCCATAGTTGGTTTGGAGGATGGAGTCTATGGCTTTGTACCTGTCCGAGGTCCCACGCCTCCTGAAACCTCACCCTCTCCAGGCTCCATCCCTCACATCTCCAGGAATTTCCCACCTGGAGTTGGCAACCCTATCTCCTTCCCAGCCAATCATCAACCTACCTTTATTTCCCCCTCACTCTTCAGCTTTCCACCCCCACACACATAAGGATACAGAGCCCACCATTTTCTCCAGGGGAACTGATCTCTGCCATCTGGAAAGCAGTTGTAATTCTGAGTGATCTACAGCCCTCACCTGGAGATTGGACACATTTTGCCTCAGAACAGCAATACTGTTTAGAATGTTAGAGGCAAAAGCCAATCAAGTCACATTTGCAAATGACCTCTGTGTTCCGAGGCAAAGGCCAATGCGGCTGCATATGCAAATAACCTCTGTGTTCTGACTGGCTATGGGGGAGAGGAACAGCAAACTGTTTAGAATGTTGGAGGCGAGACTCAAGCAATGCAGCCAGTGGATAGGGACAGATTCTGAGTGACACACCAGGGCGCCAACCAATTCCGGAGCGTGTGGAATGTTCTAGAGAAGTGCCACTACCATTCGGCTTTTATTTATAAGGGAGATAAAATTTCAC